TTAATTATTAAATTATTAAAGGCTTACCTCTCGAGGACCTTGACTAGTGACTTGAGATTCAATATTGTTGGGATATATGTTCAGTATAACTAAATGACAATAATCAACAGGAATCAAACTGTAAATTAGAACAAAGTTTAATATGATTATAATAATTTATAATATTTGTAGAAAATACTAACTGATCTGAAGACAACGCATTCTTGTTTTCCTGTGCTAATTCATTCAAAAATATATTCTCTAAGTTCTTCATGTTGCTGTTATCACGTGCACTCGTGATGCATATTACCCTGCCTCGATTTATCAGTTTGTTGGTGTTCTCATTCAGAGAAGTTCTTTTTTCGTGTTGTATCTCAGAGCACTCATTCAATGTCTCAATTGCTACGCGCAGACCGTGTATCACTGAATAGTCCTCGCCAGGTTCCGGCGTCTTCGTTGGCACTCCTAAAATCGCAGTGCCATTCATTATCTAAAAATAAAATCAGTTCCATTATTTTTTTTTATTAAACACATGCTAGCAAAGAAATACATTCCATTCAATAATCACAGATATTTATATTTCATTAATTAGATATTCATTACTCCAGAAATATAGAAGTTTGAAAGGGACACTTGCATGATTCAAATTCTGCTGTAGTGGACTCCATGAATTCAACACATAAGCTGCACGGTCAGTTACAACAAATCTAATCTGAAAAAATAATGACAGTAAGGACAACATTAACAATACTAGAGACTATCATAAACTGTAAATGTAGTCTGTTCTATCATAAAAAAAGTAAGTCTGTTCTATTTAGCTGAATAATTCACCTTTTTCAATAAGAAAAGAAAAAGAAGAAAAATAAGTTCAGTTAAAAAGATCAGATCTTATATATGATTAACTATCATAAGATGCTTTTCAACAGACACAGATGACAGTATAACACAGTGAATCATTACAGTCTTGTTGTTAAACTAAAATGATTTACTGTGTTATATTATCTGTGTAGCATCTATAGATTATAGTCTCAGATTACATTTTACCAGCGTTTTTCTGATAACTTGCTAAAATATGTTGCAACTAAATTGTCACAAGGTGAGTTCTCATTTGATACAATATTACAAGTAAAAAAAAACACAAATCGAGTATAGTAATTTTATGGCAATATTTTCGATAAAATTACAACAACTATTGTTTCGATAAAATTACAACAACTATTGTTCAGAAATACAAATACAATTTCTGACAACCTGCAAGCAAAAGTTTAATTCAACAATATTTCTGCTATTATCATGGCAATAATATGACGGTAACAATTGCTAGCCGGTTTGCTTTTGTACGAAATGTTAGCAGGGAAATAGTCTGTTTCTTTATACCAATTTGCCTATGGGGAAGAGGTCCCACACAATGCGACAGTACTCCAACGAAGCTTCGACGCTGGTAGTCCACAAAGATTTGCAGACCGGTGCCAGCGGGATTAGGTTCTGGCCTCTGCTCTTCAGAAAGTCAAATTCCAGCGGGGATTCGGTGGAGATACCAAAATACGGCGTGTGATCTAGCACGAATATAGTTTTGTGGTTCGCGGGATACATCTCGCATTTCTCACTCGCGAATCGCGTGAGACAAACAATATCTTCGCTGACCTTTTGAGGTTAAGATATAATCAATCGTGATATTTACGAAATTTACAGTTATGTCGTGTCTACCTCGTACTCTGCCAAGTCAATGCATTATTCTCATAATTGTTCTTTCATGTCAACGATCAATGGAGTCTGGAAGGAAGCAAACAAACGATAGTTAGGCATCTTTCCTGATTTTTCTACTTGACATTTGTAGCTCGAACATAACCTCATTTGATTCCGTTCCGAGTAGTTTTACGTATGGCGTGATAACCTTATATATTGCCTTATTTCTTCACATTTCTTTTTCTAAGGATGCACTGGAAAACAGGTAATCGATGAGTAATATATCTCAGTAAAAATTTTTCTCAAAATTTTGTATGAACTAAAACACTTTTCAGAAATACTGAGAAAGTCTACATCTTTACAATTGTTCATATATATGAATTCTAAAATATTCTAAGATTTTTAATTTTCTCATTCTATAATTTCTGAAAAAATAACCTTTTAACTTTTTTAGATTTTATAAGAATCAATCAGAACTTATAGGATAGAAATCTTAGAAATCTCAGAATATTTCAAAATTCATATATGTATATGAAGAATTCTAGAAAAGATATAGACTTCTTCTGAAAAGTGTTCTAATTTGTATAAAAAATTTGAGAAATTTTCTAAAAAGTAAT